TGGAAGAGCCGCGGGTCCCCGCTGTCGCCGCCACCCCGGTGGTGGCATTTTTTGGGGACCCCCCTAAAGCCACCCCGGTCCCCGCGCGGTGCCGGCGCCGCGGTTATTTTGGGATTTTCCGCGCGGGGGGGGAGGGGACGATCCCAAATTTGGGAATTGTCCCTTCCCGGGGTCCCTTCCCGCTGGGGACAAAAGCGACACTGAGGGGACAAAGGGCAGTGACGTCACGGGTTGGTTGGGATATATATTTTTTTTTTAAATGGGAAAAAAAGCGGTTTTTTTGGGATTCCCCGGGTGTTCCTGGATGTGGGAGCGTTCCCGGTTTTCCATGGAATTCTCCCGGTGTGGGTGTGGCATTCCCGGTGTGCTGCTCGTCCGGAATTCCCAGGTTTTGGGGTTTTGGTGCTCCCGGAATTGTGGAATTCCCAAATCCCGGTATCCCGGGGCTGGGGCATCCTCAGGCCGTGTAGGATCACGAAATTCCCAGGGATTTATTTCCCATCCCTGAGGTTCCCAGTATTCCCAAATCCCGGGGTTTGGGGGATCCTTGGGGTTCCCAGCATTCCCAAATCCCGGGGTTTGGGGGATCCTTGGGGTTCCCAGCATTCCCAAATCCCGGGGGTTGGGGGATCCTTGGGAATTGCAATTCCCTGGGAATTGGCAGCATTCCCAAATTCCTGTGCTGGGTCATCCTCAGGCCTTGGAGCATCCCTGAATCCCAGGGGTTTATTCCCCGTTTTTGGGGTTCCCAGCATTCCCAAATCCCGGTGCCAGGTTATCCCTGGGGTTTCCAGAATTCCTGAATTTCCAATTATTAAATTCCCCATCCCTGGGAATTGCAGGATCCTCACATCCCAGGATTTTATTCCACATCCCTGGGGTTACCAGCATTCGCAAATTCCGGTGTTTGGGTATCGCTAGGATTCCCAGCATTCCCAAATCCCGGTGTTTTGCCATCCTGGATATTCCCAGCATTCCTGGCTCCCAAGGATTTCATTTCCCACTGCTGATTCCCTGGATGCGGTGATTGATTCCCCATTCCCGGGATTTGCAGATTCCCTGGATCCCGGTGCTGGGGTATCCTCGGCATTTGGAGCATCCCTGAATCCCAGGGATTCATTCCCCATTTTTGGGGTTCCCAGCATTCCCAAATCCCCGTGTTTGCCATCCCTGGGAATTGCAGCCTCTCCGAATCCCAGGGAATTATTCCCAACTCCCGCCCTCCCCATCTCCCCCCAATCCCAGCTCTCCTTCCCACGATCCCGTTTTTTTCCCAGCCCCTCCAGGGGCGTTCCCGTGCTGGGAAGGGCCGGACCGGGAAAAGGGGGTGGGAATGGGATAAGGGAGCGGATCCTTCTCCCGGCTTTCCCGATCCCGGCTTTCCCGATCCCGGCTTTCCCGATCCCGGCTTTCCCGATCCCGGCCATGCTCCGCTGCCTGCTCCAAAGAGCTTCCCAACTTCCCAACCTGGAAAAACGGGATAAACAAAGCGATCCCGTGGCCAGCCTGACATTCCGAGGTGAGGGAATCCCGATTTTTTTTTTTTTTTTTTTTTTTTTTGGGAAGGAAGGGAGGGTTTGGAATATTTTTTGGCTGCTTTGGAAGAAGCTCCCAGGAAAATCTGGGATCTGGGAATCTCCTAAAACTTTGGAAAATCCTTTGCTTTGCAGCTTTTATTCCCCTGATCCCAAAGTTTTTTAAACGCACGCCGGAATATCCCTGGGAATTCCATCCCTTTAATTCCTTGGATTCTGCACTGGGATGGATGTGAATGATCCCGCATGGAGCGGGGGTTATCCCATTCCCGAGGGATGGATTTCCTGGGAAAACGGAGGGGTTTGCACTCCCAAAATTCCCGCTGGAGGACGGCGCTGCCCTGGCATTCTCCTGGAGCACGGGAAAATGGGAAAAATCCCAAATTTTAACAAACATTTGGGAAAAGGTCCAGGTTTTCCATTCGGAATTGGGGGTGCTGCTGATCCCATTCCCGCCGGGATCCCTCGGGAGAATCCCGGGAGCTCCATCTTCCACCAAATCCCGATCCAGGGCGATTCCAGGGCTCGGAATCCCGGGGAAAATCGGGAAGGAGATGGGAATGAACCTCTGGATGAGGAAAAGCAGCGGGATGAGTTTTCCATCTTCCCAGAGCCGGGCAGTTCGGCTCTTCCCGATCCCAAATGGGGAAGGGGTCACTGAACGGTGGGAAAAGAGCGGAAACCCGGGAATATTTGGAATATCCCGGAGTCTCCCGGGATTTGAGTCACCTCCATTGTTTGGCCTTTTCCTCTTCCTCTTCCCGCGGGGGTCCCTCCCTTGGGATGCGGCGACATTCCAGGAGGGATGAGGGGGGCGTGGCTTTGGGAAGGGGGTGGGGTCTCTCCCCCCTCACGCCCCTGAAGCATTCCCAGGGTTGGGAATGTTGGATCTGGGGGAATCCCGGGATTCCCACCCACGGCGTTTGGGGAAACTGAGGCAGAATCCCGAAGTTTGGGAGTGGAATGTTTGGGATCTCCCGTGGCTCTTCGCACCCCGAATTCCCAGTCCTTGGAAACCTTTGGGTGCTCCTGGGGAAACTGAGGCACAGAAAAGAGGGAGTCCCATGGGATTTTCCAGCCTGGAACGGTTGAGGATCCAAGTGGGATCGTGGATCCAATCTCTGCATTCCCAACCCTGCTTGGGAACAGGGAATGGGGCTGGATCCTGATCCAGGGAATTGTGGGGATTTCTGGAAGCCCAGCTCCACCTGGGATCAGGGAATGGGGCTGGATCCTGATCCTGGGAATTGTGGGAATTTCTGGAAGCCCAGCTACCCTTGGGAGCAGAGAATGGGATTCAATCATTTTTCCTAGGAATTCTTGGAAGTTCAGCTCCAGCTGGGAGCAGGGCATGGAGCCTGATCCTGGTCCTGGGAATTCTGGGAATCCCTGAAAGCTCAGGCCCAGCTGAGATCCGAGTTTCATTCTGGAATCCTGATCCCTGGGAAGCTCCCGATCCCTGGGAAGCTCCTGATCCCAGGGATCGGGAATATCCCCTGGGAATATCCCAGTCTTGGTTTTTCTCCTTCCAGGTGTCAAGAAGAGGACAAAGGTCATCAAGAACAACGTGAATCCTGTCTGGAATGAGGTGAGAATTCCCAATCCCTGGATTTATCCCTGTTCCCAGAGGACACCTGAGTCCAGGTGATTCCCTGGAGCTTCTGCCCCCAGGAAGTTTGGGATCGTTCCCTTTCTTCTCTGGAATTCCAGGTAGAATTCCAACTTCTTCCCCTTCCAGCAAGGTCTTATCCTGACTCAGCATGAACGTTACAAGAAATTTCCATGGAATGGGAATTTTTCCAGCACTTTCACCCTTCCAACCCTGTCCTTGTGGTCCTATGGGCCGAAATTCCAAACAAAAAAAAGGGAATTTGGTGGGAAAACGGGCACAGATTTGGTGCTGGAGCAGCTCCTGGGATTTGTTCTTTCCTGGTAATCCATGGCCAAGAAAAACTTTTCCCCAAGGCAATCTTCCCGGTGGACTTGCTGGGAAATTTGGCTTTGGGAACGCTGTGATTCCGAAGGGGTTTGGATTCTCCACTTCCAGGTGCTGATCCTGGCCTCTCCCTCCTCTTTTTTCCAGGGATTTGAGTGGGATCTGAAGGGAATCCCCCTGGATCCCGATGCCGAGCTCACCGTGGTGGTCAAGGACCATGAAACTGTGGGAAGAAACAGGTGGGAAAAATTCCGGAGCCGGACACGGCCCCTTCTCCCTTTTCCCATTCCCGGGATTCATCCGGCTCTTCCCAGACTCCGCGGATTCCCTCCGTGGGATGATGGCCGTGGGAGGCTGGAGCCGCATTTTTGGGCTGCTCCGCTCGGAATCCGCGGGGAAATTCCAGCGTTGGAGGGTTGGGAATACATGGGGGGGTGGTTGTCTGGGGATGGACACTTCGGACGCTTGGCCGGGATTTGGGAAGCGTTGCCAAGATCATTCCCAAGGCACCGGCAGTGCCGGGAAAGGCGGCGGGAGCGGAGCCTCCGGTTTCCTTCCTCCGGCTGATCCCGGTGCCTCCCCATTCCAGGGGTTCCCCCGCGGATTGGGGGCTCCTGCTGGGTGAGGAATGCGGGAATTCCGGTGATTCCCAGCCTTTCCCGGCTCTGTGGGGTGGGAGAACTGCTTGGAAGAGGGAAAAAATAGAGGAAGGGATTTATTTTTAGGGGTAAGAGGTTGGGAATGCAGCCCAGGGAGGGAAGGATCCTGATTCCAGGGTTGGAGCCGAGGCTGGAATTGCTGCTGGGCTGAAATCCAAGGGAACTGGAATTTGGGGCTGCTCCAACTGCTGGGTGCCCATAAATAGCCACGGGAAAATGGGAGGAGGGTCCTGGATCCCGGAGCAGGAAGATTCTGGCTGACACCTCCCAGGCTGCTGCAAGCCCCATCCCAACCTGGCCTTGGATATTCCCAGGGATCCAGGGGCAGCC